AATGTCAAACCAAAGATCACTCTTTCCAATGGAAAAAGGAGGTTGGAACCTCTGGGATATTAAAAAAAGACAAAATGCCCAAAAAATTTGGTTATTCAATAGATTTCTAGTTTATAAAAAAATAGGCTCCTACGAATCAGCTTATCAAAACAGCTGGGAATTCCAAATCAACCGAAACAACTACACTTCTTCACTCTTATATTCATTTATGAAACACTGGAAACAATACTTTGGAAATCACTCAAACAACCTTTATCCGATTATTGATACAAACAATAATGGTATAAAGCTAAAAGATATATATCTAAATATATTGAAACTACCAGAAAAAATTCCAAAAACATGCTTTCAAATTACCCTGGATATTAGAGGATACCGTTACGATCAATTATTCAATAATATATTAAAACTCAAAGATCCGAAAGGTAGAAATACACTTTTCAGATTCCAAGCAAGATGCCTACCAATAAATCTTCTACATAAAAGAACATCACCAGCCAGTACTTTTGATTTAGCCCAATGTGTAATATACCCATGAACAATGACCCTTATGGCCATCTACTATTATTCTGTAATTCAACTCGAGAATATATTAATATAAATTCACTAAAAGAATACCTATATGAAAGTACTGGTAAAGATAGCAGATGGAATTATAATAAAAGTACCAACACATTGATTTACCGAAAGACACCTCAATCCAAACTTGATAAATTCTATGGTGGCAGCGAATACGACTACCATATACACCCTCAAGATGAACCATTCCGATGGTGCTATAGAGATCTCGATTTCGATCTTGATAGAACACCGACCTACAGAAATATGATTTCAATTATCTTCCACTAGGTCTGGATTTGGGTATGCACCAAACTATTTAACAAAGAGATTAACCCAAATGCAATTGCTAAATCATTAAACTATAATGACATCCAACACAAATGGACCAAACTCGCCTCACTAGAATATGCAAGAACGATCCAATCAAACTACAACAACTTCCTAAAAGTAGATAAGCAAATAAATTCAAACCATATCCAAACCATTAGATCTAAAATATCAACCTTTTATAAATTACCAGAAACCACTTTGATCAATTTCCCAATCAAATACCTATAACAATACAAATCCTCTCACATACCATTTAAAAATTTTATTTAATAAAACACCGTCTCTTACACTAATAATATAAATTATATTATTAAGTAAGATTTTTTAAAAAAAAAAAAAAAAAATTCTCCCCTCGGATTTTTTTTGTTCCCCCAACGGTAACTTGTAGGAAATTCGTTCGACCACTTGGCTATCATTGCTCCGGGTTCGAAACCCAGTCTCAGTGGGTTTTCTGAATCACACACGAATTTGCCTTACCGTGCCCAACTTGTATGCAATGTGGTAAAACTCATATAAGCATTAAAACACATACCAAACAAAAATAAACACAATAAACTGATGACTGAATGCATCATTAAGAATCATCTTCACTTTTAAAAAAAAAAAAAAAAAAAAAACTTTTTACTGATTAATTTAAAGCATTAGCTTTTAATTTTCCCTTAAAAAAAAAAAAAATTTTAAAAAAAATCCTTCAATGATAGAACCAATTTACTTGATTATTATTTGAATTCCATAACACTTTTAAAAAAAAAACCGAGAAAGAGTTGACTACAACACCGTTGGCTCTATTCCCCATGCAGTTTTTCTGAATCACATTCGAAATTACTTGTATATAAGTTTAAAACACACACCAAAAACAATAGCACATTTGATAAAAAAAATATTAATATATTTTTAAAAAGTAAATCATCCTTAAATAAAAAAAAATCCTTTATTAGAGGAGAGCTCTTCACTTTTATTAAAAAAAATTCTATAAGTAATTTTTGGTAATAAAATTACACACATTATAAAAATAAATAACTATGTTTATTAAATAAACAGATTGGGGAATAAGTTTACAGATTAATCTATAAACAAATTTTTTTATACAAAAAAAAATTAAAAATATTTTATTATAGATTTATAATCTTTTTTTTTTTTTTTTTAATTAAAAAAGGGCTAATAAAAAAATAAATAAAATTAATATAAAATTTAAAAAATTAATTTTTGAGCAACTATTATTTAAACTATTATCGACGATTGTATCTAAAGAATTATTATAGATTATATTATTTTCATTATTATTTAAATAAAACAAAGATTTTTCATTCATTTCTAAAGACCAAGATTCACATTTTTCTTGATTATCAACAATTCTTAAATAACCAGTTGTTGGGTATCTGATTTGTTTTCCACTATTTGTAATTACTTTAAAATAATAGTAGTCACATGGGCTAAATATTCTTGTGTTGTAAGAGTATACACCATTTGATGTTTTAGAACTATCACTTGAATATAAAATATTCATTTTATAATTCATCTGATTTAAATAAATTCTAAATGATTGAATAGTTTCGTTTGAGTTGAAGAAATTGGCCAAAAATAAAACTTCTTTATCATTCTCATATTTAAATGTATGAGATGCTGATATAATTGATTTATCATCTTTTGATTGGGGTGAACATGATCCTTGAGTAAAGTCCATTGTATAAAACCAGGTTTTCAAAGTAGTGTTATACACTATTCCTGTTCCTGAATAAAATATTTGTTTACCCATTATTCTATCCCTAAAATCACCAACATCAGGGTCATCATCATTTAAGCAATTTTGACTACTTCTACAAACTAATCTATTTACTGCTTTGAATGCATTGTTTGAACTTGAGGTTTTATAAATATGCTCTTGAGTATTTTCATCACACTTCCAATGTTCAATTCTTGAATAAAATGATGTATAATTACAGCTATCGAATGTAAAGCAATCTCCTTTTGACATATCTTGTGAGTGAGCTCTTCCCATTTGATTTAAAACTATATTATATTCCAATGGATCTACCTTTTCGTAATATTTATTTGTTAATACATTGTCCAAGTTTGTAAAATTAAAAGGCTTCATAAAATACTGTTTATAATATTTTGGTTCCATTCTTAAACTGTTCATCATCACATGTGATTCTCTTTCCAACCATGATGGATGTGTGTAAAGGTTTTCACCATACCCATTTATTAAATAATTTATATTTATTATTAAAATTATTAATATTATTAATAATTTCATTTTGTGTATTTTTTATTGGGATTTTTATTTTTTTAAAAAAAAAATTATAGATTTTTATACAATTTATATATTTGAAAAAAAAAAAAAATTTTATTTTTTTTTTTTTATAATTATAAAAAAAATAATAATAATAAATAAATAATTAAATTAAATTAAATTAAAAACTTAGTAATTAAAAATAAATAAAAATTTAAAATAAAAATAATAAAAAAAAAAAAAATAAAAAAAAAAAAAGCAATAACTTATATACAATCAAGATAAAATTATTTTTTATTTTGCTACCAAAATATAATAAAAACATTATTATCATACTAATTCTCATATTTATTAATAACATAATGTTTAACTATTATTTTTCTTTACTAACACAATTGGCTACTAATATTGTTAATAAATATATCAATTAAATTTATTTATTACATTATTGTTGTTATAATTAATTATATATCAAATAAATTTAAAAAAAAGGTGGTGATAATAATAAAAATAATGATATTTATAGTAAATTTAATATGTTTTTTTTATTTATTTTTGGTATGTTTATTTTTTAGTGGTTGTGTGTGAATATCTAGGTGGGTGAATTAATTTGAATTGGTGTGTCTATGTAAAGAAAAAGTGTGTGTGTGTTGATGTTTTTTTTTTTTTTAATTTTTTTATTTTTCTAGTTTGTGTTAAAAAAAAAGATTAATTATTCAGTTTGAATTGGAAATAATTTTACTATAAAAATTATTTTTATAGAGAGATTAACAATTTAATAATATAAAAATTTGATTTTTTTAATTTGTATACAAATTTTAATTGTAATATTATAATGAATTGATATTTCATTGTAAAAAAAAATATAAAACTAAAATTTAAATATACAATGTTTTTTTTTTATTTTTTTAATTTTTAATATTTAAAATAATATTACTTTTTTTAAATAAATTAAAAATTTTGAATTTCTTTAATGATTGAATCTAATTGATTTGATTTTTCTTTTCTTTGATTTGATAGATTTTCGATTTTCGATACTAAGTTCTTCTCTTCAAAAGTTTTCTTGGTGACATGCATTTTTGATTTTAATGTTCTGAATTCTTCCACACAGTTCTTTTTAAATTTTAATTCTAGATATTGAGGAGTTTCATTAATTGGCAATTGACCAAAAATTGCAGATTGTTCTCTTGTTCTTAAAGAGTTTCTACCTACTTCAACAAAACCAGAGGCATCAAGAACTTCTCCATTTTCTAAACATAGGATTGGTGGTGAGGAGATTCCTTTTGATGTTAAATATTGTTTATAGTCTAAACCATTTCTAAGAGTTTGGAAAATCATCATTTCTCTAAAAATTGTGAAACAGAGAGTTGATCTTAAATATTCATGTTTTTCTTTTAATTGTAAGATATTGCAAACAAAGCCATAGAATCCATTTAGTGGTGCACCTTCGAATGGTTGTAATTCTAACTGATTTTTTAAATGTTGTGATGGGACTTGTTGGCTCCCGTATTTTGGTCTTCTTGGTCTAAATGGTAAGAGTGTGTCATGTGATAAAAATAAAACTGGTTGGGTTCTTTCTTTAAAGTGGTTATAGTATTTTTCGAAAGAGTATTTATTTTCAAACAATACACCTTCCATTTTTAACTTGAGGAATGATGATAGGTATCTTGCCAATTTATCATCTTCTATATAAATTAAATCCATAATGATACCAATAATACCAGATGTTGAATCTTGACGTGATAAATCTAAAAGTTCTTTGGATGTTGGATTGGATGGATATGGTGCTCTTCTACGTGGTTTATTTGAAAGTTCCTCCATTTCTTTTGAAATATCTTGACTTAATTTCTTTACAATTTCTGGATTGGTTTTATATTCTTCTGTTAAATGTGGTATCATTGATTTAATACGGAGGAATAGATCATCAGCTTCGCTTTTAACGTTTTTATATTCATTAAAATAATATGTTTGCTCCTGCTTTAATATTTCCAATTCTTTATCGATTTGTTGAATTTCTGCATCGAATGATACCCTTTGCTGTTGAAGTTTAACCTGTTTATCGAGCTTTTCTTGTTGGTTTTGGAAAAAGAATTCAATTGATAATGGTTCAATTTCAATATCATTGAGACCCTGTGGTGTAAATACTAAATTATATAGACCGCTATTACCAATTGAGCTGATTAATTCTATTTGTTCAAATGTTGCTTCACCATCAGCTTCTTTAAATTTTCTTTCAATATATTCGTTACCGCCGTGATCTTTGAATTCTGGTAATTTGATTGATGCTAATGGTTGTGACTGTATCATTTTATGATTTGATGATTGTTCTATAGTTGCTCTAATTGCACCTGGAATGAAAATAATGTTATCATAAACATCTGTAATTGAAATACCAATCTCTTTACCCAATATTGATGTTGATGGTTGATACTTAATAATACCACTAAAAGATAAACGAGATGGGGTATGTGGATGAATCATAATAGTTTCTTCAGAACGAATTTTGGTATTCTTTGAACTACGTATTGTATGAGAAAATTGTAAAACGGAAGAACCTGCTTTCTTTGGTAAAGCGACATTACTAAAAATATAAACTGGTTTTGATTCCTCTTGAACCTCCGAACAAATATAGACCTTTTGGAAGAAAAGCTTCATTGATTCTTTGGGCACAACAATAGGTTCATTTTCTGGATTTAAAACTTGAACTCTGAATGTGCATGATGGTGTACCAACAGTAAGTCTTGGCATCTTTTCTTTATCTAAAAGTACTATTGAGAATTTACCTGAAACTAAAAACGAAACCAAAGCCTCTTGAATATCTAGTTGCTTGGGTTTAACACGTAATGTATAGATACCCTCTTGAGCATTTGTTTTGATTTCCAAGTTACTTAATTTACCTTCACCTTTTGAAATTTTAACACGAGATCTTATGTCAATTGGAACCTGTCTATCCTCCAAATCAATCCATTCCAATTCAGTGTCAACACCTGTAATACTGAGAGTTGGATTACCTTGGGTATCACAAACTACAAATACAATTTCATCCAATAATTGACCACCAGAGCATTTTATTGTAGTTTTTGAAACACCATTAATACGAAGTTGAGCTGCACGACCCTCAATGCAATCTAATGCAAGTGAGGTTTCATTGATTTGACCACTTTTATCTAGAACCTTGACTTGTAATTTACCAAAACCAACTATTGTGACTTTGCAAATATAAATGTTTCTATCGTAATCATATTCACTTATATTTTGATTCTTTATAAAGCATGGAATTTGCCCTTTTTGATTTGTAATTTCAAAGAATGGTTCAATTGGTATACCGGATTTTAAATTATTTGGTGAAACTTGATTATGTCTCTTGTCTGTTAACCCAACCTCTAAAGTTATCTCGCTATCGCAACGAGCGTGGCTAATACCACGGCCCAAGTTTAATGTGAAATGAGTTGGAGCACCACCAATTGTTTGAATTGAGAAATCTTTTTTTAATGAGACAATTTGTCCTTTATTATCGGCCAATTGCTTGAACTCATTTCCAGTTTGTTGAGAAAGTGGAATATCGATATTTACAGTGTAACGAGAAAATCTTGCCATTCTATCAGTTGAAATATTTGGTAAAATAATCATATCACCGTTCATTTGGAAAGGTTCATTTTGAGAGGAGCCCCATGATGTAGAAAAAGTACCACTCAAGTTATTTAAAAGAAATGGACCTCTATTACCACCACCTGCACTATAGACCTTAATACCATATTTGACATCGGCAGAGGCTGGTGCTGTGAATGATTCGTTTTCACCGACCAACAATTCACTTAATGGACGCAGAGCAAGGAATGCTGGTTTAAATGATGGTAAAACTTTAATATTCTTTTCCAATGAAAAAACTTCTCTATGATCTTTAAATAAGGTAAATGTAATTGGTGCAAGAGAATATTTTGAAGCTGATCGACTTGCTCTTGTTTTTCTGGTTTCTAACATTTCGATATCGTTGTCATTAGTTTCGAAGGGTTTATCTACGTGTTCTTTTAATAAAATTGCGGTTGGTGGAGGTGAAGTTCGGACATTCTTTTTGGTTATACTAGATATATTATAAGGACACAACGAAAACATACCAGACTCATCACTAACATAGTAAATATTTTCATCAAAGCTTGGAGATGACAATAAAATATGATAAAATGGACCATCTGTTTTAGCTTGCACCGAATCCTTTTTCTTTCTTACTTTGTTTTGTGATAACTGTGTTGAACTGGATGCTGTTTGCTTTGATTGTAAATGACAAATATTTGAATCTTTATCGTTTGCAAAAATATAAAAATTTGGTAAATAGGTTAAATTCATATAACCTTCGACTGAATCTAGGTTTTCTTTAGATTCGGCTGATATTGGTGGATCAATTAAACCTGAAAACTCTAAAAATGTAAATGTACATGGATCGCCTGATGTTAAGATACATGATGATCGTTTCGAAACAAAATCATTAAAGCTTGTTTGAATTGAGAAGGGTAACTCTGACTCATCATTCAACCTTGCACTTTTAATAATTAAATTTGAAACTATAATTTTACCTTCGACTAAATCGACTTTATATCCATCATGATTAATTTGTAATTCATTTTGTTTAGTTGATTTTCGTTTTGATGATCTTGATCTTTTTTGTTTATTAGCATCTTGTATTTCTTCATCTTCTTCATCTTCGTCATCATCATCAGTTTCTTCAACAATTGCTTTAATTTTAAAGGAATCTGGGCGGTTAGGAATATCGATTTCGTTTCCGTCGCTATCTAATAATGATATTCTAATCTTTGGTAGTGGACTTCCGATTGAAACTTTATATAATTGTTCGTTATTTTCTATACCCTCAAACTCTGTTATGATTTCCGATGGTTTACCAGCAATAACATTTAAAAAGTGAGTTGCTTTAATAACTTTTTTGTCGCTGCATTCAAATACTAAACTATAGGCACCGGTTCTTTTGAAACATCTAATATCACCAAAAGATACGCGTGACGATTCATAAAACACACTGGTCTCCATTTTATGTACAACCTCTCCAGTTGGGGTATATATACAGCTAAAGGTAATTTTGTAGCATTCTTCTTCTATAATTTTTCTTTCAACTTCTTTTGGAGGTGATTGGCCATCATAAAGTGCAATCGATACCCATTTAATTGTGTCACCAGCGAAATATTCTTTCTTTGGTAATGATGCTTTATCACCCTCGAATAATTTGATCTTGTGTGGCAGTTTCTTTTTGGTGTTGGCCAGTATTGAATTATACTCATTGGGTGGAATCTTTTTGACGATTTTGGAGCAAAGGAAATTTTCAGGCTCCAATGGTTTATAGTGCAACTTGTCCAATTCACAATAGAAATCGGATGCACGATATTCAGGACGACCTGTAAAGAAAATATTTTTAACAATACCTTTAACTGAACGGACTCCAAGTGAAACGGCATCACCTAATTGGATACTAAGACCACGAATAACAATACCTTGACAAAAAGTTTTATTTGATGATGAGTCGTATTTTGGATCTTTAAATTGAATATCTTGATCCAACTTGTGGCATTGTAACAACCATTTTTTCCAATTGGTCTTTGCAGTTTTACCTCCAGCAACTGGTTGGTCCAACAATTCGAATATTGGTGATTCTTTAATGATATGCATTTTATTGTGAGTGACAGGAAATTCTGAAGTTAAAAATATTGCACCCTTGACTCTTTGAATCCATTTATCCTCAATCTTTGACCCATCAATTTTACCAGCTGCCATAAAACCTAAACGATCGATATGAGCTTCAGAGATTAATCTACCATTCCAGAATACTTCGAAACCTGGTTTTCTAAGTGAAAGTGGACAACTCTTTAGATCTATCTTTGGACTATCTTGAAGAATTCTATTTGGAATTGGCATAGTTTCTTGTTCATCGACAAATGGAAAATAACGCAAATGACACACAACTTTAGCTTGAGATTTAGATTCTTTAATTGGAATTGAGAATTCGAATATCTTGAATTTTTTGCCATATTTAATATATAATGACTCAATACAATTGTTGACATCTGAAAGATCTTGATCATTTAAGGTTATTTTATATGAATTCTTTTTTTCGTGTTTATAATTTAATTTCGAAACATTAAGTTTATCTTTTGAACCATCTTCATCTTCATCCATTTCTTCATACTCTTCATCGTCTTCGACTTCGATTTCGCTATTCTCCTCGTCATTATCATCATCTATTACTATTTCTTCTCTTTGAGATGTAGGTGAAGCAGATGATGCTGTAAAACTGGTTCTTTTACGTAAATTTGCTGAAGTTGTTGTGGTAGTCGTAGTTGGTGGTTTTGTTGACTTTTTAACTGGTGAATTATTATCGCCCAATGTATAATGTGAAGCTTCACCAACGTCATGAAGATAGTAATAATAGATATGAGCTAAATCTTTTTTGAGAGCCTCCATTTGGGTTTCATATGTTTCGGTATTCATTGGGACATTATTAATAATAACTTCGGTGAACTGTTCATGTTCCTTCTCGCTTGTGGATTGAGCCTCTCTAACAATAATTGGAATTCTCCATTCTTGATCTCCAGTTGAATTTAAGATATCTAAAGAAATTTTTGCTTGGTTGATCCATTCATTACCACGAACCTTAGTATTAACGACAACTTCAGAACCTAAGTAAAATGCTGCTTTTTTACCACCAACACCAAATCTTGAAATTAAACCTGTTGCATTATCACTATTATGACCACTTTCTTGTTTGATTTTATTTTCAACTAAATCAGCTTGACTAAGACCCATTGTTGCCCATCTTTGTAAATGATCTTTTGACATACCACAACCATTATCCCAAAATCTGATACTTGTAGTTTTTGTTGTTGAATTTGGTCTATTTATAATGATTTTAATAATTCTATTACCTGATTCATTATTTCTAACTGCTTGAATTGAATTATCGACAAACTCTGCAATTGCATTTGGGAAACTAAATTTTAAATTAATATGTGGGAAAATTTTTATAATGAATATAACTATATAACTATATACAAATAAAAAAGAAAATGTAATACAAACAACATACTTGTATTCTGATGTACCAGCTTTTAATAAAATGTTTTTTGATGGTGTAACATCTACCAAAATCTCCTCACCTCCATTATCTAAAATGCTTTCGCCTTTGAAATAAATAATCATTACATTTCTATTTGCAGTTTGTAAAAAATTTTGATAACTACTCTCATCTTCTATTGAATTGTTTGATAAATCTGAAAACAAAATATCTTGGTCTACAGTTTCCTCATTTTCTTTAATTATTTGCAATGAAAATTGTTTTAAATCAAAAAATGTTTCAGGTGTGAGAATATACTGTCTATTTCCCTTTCTTGAAATTGAAACTAAAAAATATTTATTAATATTCATAAATCATGTTTTTTTTCCTATACAAATTTATTGAACCAATACTTACTTTGATCAGGTATGTTTCTTGCAACTAATGATGTTCCTAATGACAAATCTATTGAACCCTTTTGTTTTTTTGGTGAACTGCTTTCAAGTAAATTTGCTTTTCTTTTCTTTTCTTCTTTATCACGCTCCTTTGATCCTTCTCTTGACGGTTCTTTATCTTTTGTTCTATCTCTTGATCGTTCTTTATCTTTATCTCTATCTCTATCTTTATCTTTATTTCTATGTTTATCCTTTTCTTTATCTTTCTCTTTATCTTTTTCTCTATTACCCATATTTAAAAAATATTTATATAAAGATATAGATAAATAAGTATTATTTACAATCTACTCTAACAAAAGTAAAATAATATAAAAAAAAAAAATTTTTAAAACTTTTAGTTTTTTTCATGGAAATGAAAAATAATATAAAAAAAAAAATTAAAAAATTAAAAAAAAATTAAATATTTATTAAAATTTTTTTTTATTTTTTATTTTTTTTACGGATTAATTGAACAATGTATTTTTCAACAATCCAAATTTATCTTTTTTAATTTTAAATTTATAATAAAAATAAAAAAATAAAAAAAACAAAAATTTATTATAGTTATAGGAATTTACAAAATGGGGTAAACATCTTTACTCCATATAGAATTAATAATATTTAGATTTATATTTAAAAATAAATAAATAAAATAAAATAATTAATATTCTAACTGTTAACAGAGAATGATTTCGATTTTGGTATTCTCTTTCTTCTTAATGGGGTGGGATTTGAATATTTTTTCCAAATTATAAGACTACCGAAAAAAGCTAAAAAGAGTATACACGATGATAACATGTATGGGGCACCTGGGAAGAATCTGGGGCTTTTTTTAGATATAGCAAAACTATAGATATTGCCAGCTGTCAATGCACCAAGAAAACCAGCCAATGAGCCAACCGATTGGACACCAGTTAAAATGGAACCTCTTACTTCAGCAGGAGTTGCTCTACTGATAACAGAGGTTAACAAACTAATAGAACTTGGCACAAATGCACCAAAGGATGCTGCAGCAATCCATATATATTGTATATACGCAAATGCATAAGCTGCTCTTACAATAAAACCAATTAACAAAGCCAATGAAATAATTTTTCTTTCAGCTATAAGAAAAAAAAAAAAAAATTAATATATTTATAAAAGATATTATTTAATTTTATATAAAATTAAAACTTACAATAATATTTTAATAAAGTGGGTACGATTAAAATACTCCACACCAACATAAAAAAACCATTTCCACCCATAAAGAATGAGGTGTCTTTTGGTGTCCAACCATATCTTAGTGCGGTTGAATAAACATATGTTGACATAATATCTTGAAGACAAAAACTAACTACGATATAAATACAAATAACTAATGATACATAGGCACTTGCCGAGAATACTCTTTTGATTAGTTTGAATGGGTTTGATGTTTTTTTGTGGGGTTTGATTTTTCCGTTCTCTTTGGCGATGTTTAGAGATTCCTTTAAAAAGATAATGATTATAATTGCAAACACAAGTATACCAATTGTCATGTATAGTGTCAAGAAAAAGATATTTGGGAAGAGCGAAGTGATGAGATACACGCCTGGACCAGTGATAATACCGAAACCCATGGCCATACCGGTCATTGCATAAGTTGTGGGAACCATATCTTCCTCTGTAATATCGGCCAAATATGAATACACTGCTGCTATCGATACATTTGTGGTACCGGCAACGCTGTGGCCAATGAAAAATGGCACTAAACTGTTGGTTTTAATTGTAATTACACATGATATCATATCAACAATTTCAATACCAGCAGCCCAGTACAACAATACCTTTCTTCCATACTTGTCACTGATAGCGCCGGCTAATGGACCAAATAAAAACATGAAAATGTATGGGATGGCATCGAGAAAGCTCTTGTAGTAGGCCGCTTTGCTTTGAAGTTGCTCTGGTGTGTAATCTGGGTACTCTGCTTTTACATAATTTATCATAACATTAGGTATAAAAAGTCCATAACAAATTCTTGTCATTGTCAATAAGGAATACAATGCATAAATTAATAAAACATCTTTTAAATATTTATGTTGAAAAATAGATTTCTTTTTATTAATTTCTTCTAATATATCTTGACCTTTTTTTTCAGAATCTTCAAGTAAAGATGCGCCATCTTGATTATTAAATAATAATGGTTCTTTATCTTCGTCAATATTTACAATAGATGTACCCACTAAATCCTCTTCATAATCTGAAAATGAATCTGATTCATCACTACAACTATTAATTGAATTATTCATATAAATATATATACATATAAATTTATATATTTATTATTTTATTATTATTTTACAACTGTTGTTAAATTAATTAATTTTAAAAAAATATAAAAAAAAAAACAATTAAAAAATTTAATTAAAAAAAAAAAGGGTGTTAATCTAATTATTTCTAATTTTGTTTTTGAGTTTATTTTTATATGTGAGAAATGATTAAGAATGAAAAAAATTGTTTTTACTATAATATTTTAAAAAATTAATTTCTATAGCTATAATAATAATAATTATTTTATTTTATTTTATTTTATTTTATTTTATTTATTTTCTTTTCTTTTTTTTCTTTTTTTTTTTTCTTTTTTTTTTTTTAATTTTAAATTTTTTTAACCCCCCAGGAAGAAGTTATTATCAAAATTTTTTTAATAAAAATTATGTCTTTATTTTTCAAAAAAAAAAAAAAAAAAAATATAAACCACTAAATATATGTTTTATTTAGACCATATCACCATATATTTCAACATCCAGATATTTGATCTTTTTTTTTTTTTTTTTTATAATTTTTATTTAGGATTTCAAATATAAAAAAAAATTATAAAATAAAATAAAATAAAAAGTCAAAATTTTCAATTTGACAGGTCGTGGCCAAAAGACGACAACTCACACAAAAAAATGATTGCTTATATTTTAAAAAAAAAAAAAATATCTAAAAAAAAAAAAATAGTTATTGAAAATTTCTTTCATTTTATTTTTTATTATTATTATATTTCAGATAAAGGGATGTTGTGTATAGTTTCAATTACTGTTTTAGTTGCCGAAGTTTGTTTTTGATTTTTTTTAAAAAATTGAACACAAATGAAAACGTCGATTGACAATTGCAAGATTGATATTATTACAGAAAAAATAATTAAACCACCACCAGCACCAGGTCCCCAAGCCACTATCTGTAAGGTAGAAAGGTATTAATAAAAGTTTTATTTTTTTTCCTTTTATTTTTATTTTTATTTTTATTTATTTTTATTTTTTATATTTAACAATAATTACTTTTTGATTGTTTTCATAATATCCACCATACACTTTACTATTTGGGGTACTTTCCCAATATTCATTATCTACTGCTATATAAGAAGATGCATAAAATAGTATAGCGAGGGTTGCCATCCAAGCCAATGTTTTGCATCCACTAAAAACAGTAATTGAAACAGTTACTTTTCTATTAAAATGGTCTAAAAATAATTGCAAGATTATTGTTATTGAGTTGAATAATACTGAAATGTATAGAACTATACGACATGCCATCAACAAATTATCTATAGCTTCAAAACTTGGATACGATTTTATACTGTTGTATTCGGTAAAGTATTCGAAATAAAATTTCATTTTCTTATAATCGTAACCACCCCTATAATCATGATATACATATAATGGTATATTTATTGATATAATACTAAGTAATGATAAAATTGAAAAAAATAATGAAGTTTTAACCAATATGTTAATATTCATTTTATTTAAATTATTATAATAATCTGTGTATTTATAATTATATATTCAAATTTAAATATAAAATAATTAAACAATGAAAAAATAAATTCATTTTATAATATGTTTTATTTTTATTTAATTATTATCTTTTTTTTATTAATATTTCAAACCTAACAACCACCACCCACTTTTTTTTTTTTTTTTTTTTTTTTTTTACCCCCCAAAAAAATAAAAATAAAATATAGGGAACACCCTTTTTTATATTGAAACAAATATAAAAAGTTAAAGAAATTTCATAAACTATCAGCTCTCGTTGAACTACTTCTTTATGAAAATATAAACCATTTACTATGCGAAAAACAATAATAATAAAAAAAACCCCAAATTCTTTTTTTTTTTTTTTTTTTTTTTTTTTTTTATTGAAGTTTTAAAATAAAATTTTTTAATAATAAATATTAATTCATTAATTGATATATTATAATTTTATGTACAGAATGAATAGATAGTTCTATAAAATGGATTATTATGAACACATCCCAATGGCTCTTCTGATTTACTTGTATAGTTTGAACATTTATCATCAGAGTATTTTTTTACTATTAATGATTTTGATGTACATGTGTAGATGATACCAAAACTACATACATTTAAAGGAATTGTGTTATATTGTATAATTTTTGTTTCATCATAACATTTTAAAACAGTATTTGGATAAACTCCCATTACATATGAGTTTGCTGGTATATTTGGTTTGGGGTCTGATGTGCAAGTTGTATATTCACCATTTTTATTGCAGACATTGTTGTTAAATGACACTGAGTTGGTTTTACCATTACAATCGTTGTCTTTGTAATAGGTTTCTGTGGTTGAGTTTTGGTCACACGAGAATTCTATTGAACCTAAGCATACACCCAATTTACTGCTTATTAACATTGGTGTTTGATGATCACTGCAATTCCCACTGGGATATCTATAATTGCTATACCATTGACCTTGAATTCTGTATATAAAAAATATTATATTTAAAATTATATATATATAAGATTTGAAATTCATTCAATAAAACAAAGTAATAAAATTGTAATTTATTGTTTTTATTGTTTAAAAAAATAAATAAAAAAAAAAAAAAACCTTTAATTATTTTTAATAAAATTTTTTTTAAAACACACACCACACAAATTCATATTTGCAAAAAAAATTTAATATATAAATCACACACACCTAAAAATTAATCTATTAATGTGATTTATTTATTTTAATTTAAATTAAAAAAGATTATTAATAAAAAATTTAATCAAAAAAATGAATTATTATTAAAAAAATTAATTTAAATAAATTTATTTATTTTTTTTTTTTTCTTTTTTTATTATTTCCAATATTGAAGTTAGTTTCCTGGATATGGTGGTGGTGGTGGTAAACCATTAATGTTACTTTGAAGTTCTTGATTGTTATTTATATATTGAGGATGGGTAGATGAGGGTGGAGGTGGTGGAGGTAAACCAGAATAGGTATGGCCACGTGGACCTACACTCTGTTCCATTAAATAAAGTGGTGGTGGTGGTAATGGATAGTTGCCAATAGAGTCTTTTGAATGATAGTTACTTTCGATTGGTTTTTCTAAATCAACTGTTTGATTTTGATTTTCTCTTTTTCTTTTATTTGCAGAGTATGAACACATTAAAACAATATTGAAAAATAGTAAACCACCTAAAAAAATCAAATCTAAAATTGAGTTTGCTCTAATTAAAACTAAAATTGATACAGATATTCTATTTTTTACATATATCTTTTGTAAAATAAAAGAAGGTTAGAAACAATTTATAATTAATAAAAGAAATATAAAAAATCAATTTAAACTTACACATGAACCTGTTTCTTTTACAAATATTGTTAGTATAAAAACTACAACCGAAACACAAATGAAAATTATCAATGAGATTAATAAAATATTGTTATTTCTCTTTGATCTATTATATTTTTTTTAAAAACCCTATTGTTAATATTATAACTCCATTATTGGATGCAAAAATAAAAATCAATTATTTAATACTTACAGTTCTATAGTTCCAGTGAATTTAAAAAAATAAACAAAACCATAAAAACAATTAATCAAAAAGATAAAACAATATAAAAAGAGGAATATGAGTGAAACAGCGCATTCTCGTTTCCAAAACAAACAAATAAATACAATTGAAAAACCAAGGGTTATACAATTTATAAGCAAAGTCCAAACTGGTAACCATGGGAATTTTCTTGCTATTGTTCCAATATCAAAAACTGTTTGACTTCTTCTTAGTTGACCACTGTTTCTCGTTCTTGAGCTTGTGGATGCTATATTATTACTACTTGAGCTTGGATATTGATTTCCTGTTGTCATATCTCCAAAAATATATAATTATTAATATTTAATTATAACTATTAATTATTAATTATTAATTATTAATTGTTATTAATATGTTATTGGATATTAGATTAAAATTAATTTTATTATTATTAATTATTACTATTACAAGATGTTTTTTATATCTTTTAAAAAAAAATAAAAAATAAAATTATTTTATTCATTGTGTTGTTATTGTAATTATTTTTTTAAATAAAAATTAAAAATTTTATTATTGTTCATTATTTTTTAATAATTTTCTCCCACTAAATTAAATGGTGTGTGTTATATTTATTTATATACAATGAATTAATATAGAAGATTTTTTAAAAAAGATTTTAAAGTGTGGGGTGTGGAAAAAATTTTCATATAATTTTAAATAAAGAAAGAAAGTAGAGTTTCCACATTGCCCCAAAGATATTGGATATTAATTTTTATATGGAGGAACATTTTCTGTGTAATCTTGCAAACATGTCAATTTTTATTTTTTTTTTCTATTTTTATTTTTTTTTTTCTCTTTTTTTTTTTTTTTTAATTTTATTTAATTTTATTTTTTTTTTTTTTTTTTTAAATTTTGTGCGTTAATCTTTGAAACTCCACACTACCACCCACCTTTTTTTTTATTTTTTTTTTTTTTTATGTTTTGTTTATTGTTTCATTACACCACAAAGACAAATCACACACATACTTTTTATTTGGTATAAATCATTTTATAACAAATATAAAAAACTAACTACCACATAAAAAGATAATTTTAAAAAAATTTTTTAAAAAAATTACAAATTTAAAAAAAATATTTTTTTTATTTTTTTTTTTTTTATTTAAAATACTCGATAAAAATAAATATTTAATCAAATTTATATTTATTAAATAAAATATTCATTATAAATAACAAATTAATTTAAATAATCAGAATAATCAAAATAAACAAATAATCAAAATAAAACTATGACTCAAATAGATGTATCAGAATTAAAATGCCAAGATCATAATAAAATTGTTACAATTTATTGTTGTTCATGTGATAAATATTTTTGTAGAATATGTGATTTAGATAAACATCAAACTGAAGAAGAAGCATTACATATTAGAGGTTTAGTTAATAAAGGTAAGTATTTTAAAAAAAAAAAAATATATATATTCATAATACTAAAACATATTTAGAAATTATAACATATGATGAAGAAGAGGAAGAGGAAATTGAAAGACAAAAACAAATTAAAAATTTAAAGACAAAGAGTGGCAATACAATTTTAAATGAAATCGAGTTAATGAGCCCAATTAAAAAAGATTCACCTTATTATAATAAAGATAAAAATGAAATTAATAGTAGTTCAAAAATAGTTAAAAAAGATAAAGTAGAAATAATACACGAAGAGGATGACCCATTTGAAATAGTTGGTGATAATAGTAGTAATAATAATAATAGTTTAATAGATGTAAATGAACTTAGTGACAATATAAAAAATAATGTAGTTTTAGAAAAAGAAGAGGAAATAGACGAAGCAAATAAAGATAATAATAATAATTTAAAAAATAGCAAAGATGATAAAATTAAAACAACTCCATTCAAAAAGAATTATAAAAGGGATAAGATTATAGGTGATAGTGATGAAGAACAACATATTTTAACCAGTAATAATTTAAGCGATGATGAAGATAGTTATAAAGAAAAAGAACCAGTAGTATCATTAACAAAATCAACACCATCAACAACAGAAACCACATTAAATAAAAATAATAATAATAATAATAATGATAATAGCTTATCATCAAATAAACCAGATTTAGTTGAACAAACATACGAAGAAGAAGAAGATGACGACAGACATGTCAAATCATTTAAAAATCCATATGATAAGTCATTCAAGTCGAATTCATGTGCATTGGAGGAAGGTGAAGAAGATGATTCAGAAGAGATTGAACAAGAAAAAGAAGCAGCCCATGTCGTTCAAGGTATTGTCGAGGGTGCAATTTATTTAGGTACTGGTATTGCCACTGGTATATCAGGTGTTGTTGCCGAACCAATTATTGGCGCTAAAGGTGAAGGTGCTAAAGGTTTCTTTAAAGGTGTAGCAAAGGGTATATCAGGTGTTGCTTTAAACCCAATCAAAGGTACAAGTGGATTTTTAACCAAAACAGCAGAGGGTCTTAGAAACACACCAACCACCATTTTTACAACCAAAGAGGACAAGATGATGGGTGGTCCACAAGAACCCCTCAAAGAAAAAGAAGCTGCTCATTTATTTGAAGGTTTTTATCAAGGTACTGTTAGTTTAGGTAAAGGTGTTTTTAATGGTGTCACCGGTATCGTATTGGAGCCAATGAGGGGTGTCAAAGATGACGGTGCCAAGGGTTTCTTTAAGGGTGTAGGCAAGGGTCTTTTGGGCGTAGTAGTCAAACCAATTTCAGGTGCCATGGATTTCGTAGCCAAACCTATCGAGGGTCTCGCAAACTCTCCAAACACTGTAATTAATTTAATCGAAAATAGACATAATAACAATAATAATGGTAGTGTCAATGGTGGCCAACCATTACCATACGACGACGAAATTTAGATTTTATATAAAAAAAAACAATTTAAATAAATCTTTTTTTTTATTTCTAGATAACAATAAAATTATCATAATTGTGTTTTTTTTTTTTTTTTTTTAACACTATTTATTTTAAATCTTATTTTTTTTATTTATACATTATTAGTTTTTTTTTTTAATTTTATTTTTTTTTTTTTTTTAATATTTTTTTTATTTTTTTAATTTCACTTTTTTTTTTTATTAAACAATTACATGTAAAAAAATAAAAGAAATAATTTAAATAGTTTTATTTTTTTCAATATTATTTTATGGTTATAAAATATGGAGGTTTATAAAATCAAAGAAGAGAAAAAAGATGATACTACAAACAGTAATAAAATAACACAAGAAGAAAAGTTTTTATTAGATAATTTAGTTAGAAACGAAACACCTCCAAACATACCCATGTCGCCAGCACTAAAATTAAACAATAGCTCTATATCATTAAAGGACAGTAATTTCGATCTATCATCAAACAAAAACTTTGAGTCAACATGTATTATTACTTCCCCAGTTGTGGTATCACCAACAATAGTAAATAAAATATCATTATTATCAAGTAATAAAGAAAAAGATAAAAATAAAGATAAAGATAAAGATAGCGATATAGAACAAGAGCTATATAATATAAATAAAAAGATACAACAGTCACAACCACCATCACAGCAGCAGCAACAACAACAAAACAATTTATTTAAACCAATAACACCTATTAAATCATTAGAGCAGCCTCAGCAGCAAAATTCATTTACATACGAAAAAACTCCAACGGGAAATAAACAGCAGCAACAACAGCAACAATCTAATTATAATGTTAAAAATGAAAGAATCTCACCTATACCGTTTCCGAATATTAGCATGTTAATAAATGATCCAACAGTCTCAAATACCTCCTCCTCTTCAACATCAAACATTAGCAATATATCAACTACAGCCACAGCCACAACTACAACCAATAGATTAAAAACACCATTATCAACACCTGTAAAATCTCAAGAAAGCGCACCATCAATAGAGTTGGAGGAAAATATACCCTCATCATCAACTACATCTTCAGCAACAACAGCGACGCCACCAGAAACAAAGAAAAAATCAAAACAATGGTCATTTAAGGATTATTTATATGATGAAATAAATGGTGGCTATTTATCAACAGAGGTCATAGATTCAAAGAAAAGAGAACAGGTTTATAATTTTGTTCATGTACCATTAGAATTAGAGAAACTAATATTATTTGGATTTCTGGTGTGTTTTGATTCATTCTTATTCTTATTTACATTTTTACCAATCAGATTCTTTTTTTCATTTTTTAAATTATTACAATCATTTTTTTCGAAAAAGTAAATATAACCAATATATAGTAATAAAATACTCTTTTTGTATACTTTTTTATACTAATACATTGTTTATTTCAGAATAAAGTTAACAACGAATCAAATATTTGATTTAATTAGGGGTTTTATATGGGTGTCATGTTTTATATTTTTAACTTTTATAGACTCATCAATGTTATATCACTATATTAGAGGACAGGCAGTTATCAAGCTTTATGTAATTTATAATGTATTGGAGGTTTTGGATAAATTGTGTTGTAGTTTTGGTCAAGATATTTTCGATTCCCTTTATTGGATGTCATATAGTTTTAGTCATTCAAAAGACATTAAAGAGAAATCTCAAAAGGAAACAAGAATTTTAGCACCAGTATCCCATACAATTGTAGCGACTGGTTATGTTTGTGAGTATTATTATTACCTTTTTTTAAAAAAAAAAAAAAAAAAAAAAAAAAAACTAATTTTTATTTTTTTTATGATCATCAAGTTTTACATTCATTGGTTTTATTTTCTCAAGTTATAACATTAAACGTCGCAATCAATTCATATAATAATGCATTATTGACATTAATGATATCAAATCAATTTGTCGAATTGAAGGGCTCTGTATTCAAAAGATTCGAAAAGGAGAATTTATTTCAAATTTCATGCAGCGATATAGTGGAAAGATTTCAAGCATTTATATTTCTTATGATTATAGCTTTTCAAAACCTATCCGATTTAAATTGGGATCTATCTAAAGACTATTTCTTGGATATTGGTTTAGTATTTCTAACGGTTTTGGGTTCAGAGTTAGTCGTTGATGCTATTAAACACGCCTTCATCACCAAATTTAACAAGTTACCACCAAAATTGTATACTAAATTCTTTATCATCCTATCCGATAACATTGTTGACCCAAGAAATAGAAATTTTACCGAATCATCATGGGGTATAAATAATATTATTGGTTTTGTGCCATTCCCGCTAGCCTCAATAGTAAGTTTAAACATTATTATTACATTCCCATATTCATTATTAAAATAGATATTAATTTTTTTTTTTTTTTTTTTTTTTTTTTTTTAATTTTAGATTATCAGATTTTTTTATAAATTTATACCATTTGATAATGTAGTAACTGGTATAGTTTTAACCGTTCAAATTTATATATGTTTAGTTTTATTAAAGATATTTATTAAAATAGTAATTATAGGACAATGTTTATCAAATAATGACAGTTGTTTATCAACCCCAGATCCATCAAATCCGACATCGTCATCATCTTCAACATCTGAAAAATTAAACGAAAAAAAAATAAACTAAATCCAATTAAGGTTATTCGCAAACCCAATTATAATAAAATATTTTTTTTTTTTTTTTAATTTTTTTATATTTTTTTTTTTTTTTAAATTTTTTTTTTTTTTTTAAATTTTTTATTTATTTTTTTAATTTTTTTTTATAGTTTATTTTAAAAAAAAAAAAGATTTAAATAATTTTTTTCATTAGAGAAATTTCATTTTATAATTTGTACATTTTTGTAGTTTTTTTTTTTATTTATTTATTTTTTTTCTTTTTTTTTTAATATAGTAAAAAAATATAAAAATATTCAAATATTAATACAAGAAAAGAAAATAATAGTTATAATAAACAAAAATAATGACAGATATAATTGGAGATCCAGATTTTAATTCATTTTTAATTAAAACCTTAGATCCAATTTGCGAATTCGATGCACAGACTCTATCTGACTATATAAAGGAGCTATTGTCAAATGGGTATCAAACAAAAAAGGAGTTAGAAGAAGCATTATCGAAAGACTTGGAAGATTTTTTACACGAAAATACCAAATCCTTTTTAGTAACTTTATCACATAAACTGGAATATAACAACTATTTCGGTGATAGAGGTTCAAATAATAGAAATAGTAGAGAAAGTAGAGAACGTGAACGTGATAGAGATTGGGACAATTCAAGAGAAAGAGAAATAGAAAGAGAAAGAGGTAACAATTTCTCTCATAACAAAAGTAGTGATAGAGAAAGAGAAAGAGATAGGGATAGAGACTCACATTACAGCAGAGATTCACATCGTAGTAGCGACAGAGAAAGAGAAAGAGAACGTGGCGATTCAAATAAATACAGAGAAAGAGAAAGAGACCGCGAAAGAGATCGTGAAAGATCAATTTCACCAAATAATAACAGCTATGTTAAAAAAAGATCAAGATCACCTTCACCAAATAATAGTAGTAATAATAATAACTTTAATTATAATATAAGCAACTATCAGGAAACATATGACAACAACAATAATATATATAAAAGCGGTAATGGAAGAAATTTTAAAAAAAGATCGACAACAACAGGTTTACCAGAAGAATTTACAAACAATAATTATCAGCCAGGTATACCAAATAGTACAATAACAAGTAAAAAGTTTAATAAGAGATGTAAATTTATAGAGAAAGGCGCTATTTGTCCACGTGGTAATACTTGTAATTTTTCACACGATTTAAATTTTGTAAATGATAACAATAATAGCAACAACCACCTTAATAATAATAATGTTTATAATCCAAATGATATGGGAAACGATTTTAATGATATTAATCAATTTAATCCACAGTTTAATGACAATAACATTAATCAGTTTAATCCTCAATTTAATAATAATAATAATAATAATAACAATAATAATATGATGTTCCAACAACCAAATTTTAATCAACAACAAATAATGGACCAAATGTTTATGGATCAAATGAATAATAACAATAATAATAATAATTTTATACCAAATAATAATTTTAATCAAAATATAGATTTTAATAATTTAAATAATAATTTTGATAATAATAGTATTAATGAGGATTATAATAATATTGATAATGATAATAATGATGAAGATAATGAAGATGATAATAATGACGATAATAATAATAATAATAAAAAAAATAAATTTCAAAAAATTAAAAAAAATAATGAAATAAATATCAAGACCTCAACCAATTGTCCAAATCCAGAAGCTAAAAAATTAGTTATTACAAACATACCGATTCAATCGAATAATGAAAAAGAAATTCAAGACCATTTTTCAAAATTTGGAACCATCGTGTCAATTACCAAATTATCAACAGCAAAGTCTATGGTAGAGTTTAGTAGTAATGTGGAGGCTGTCAAAGCTATGAAATCTCCTGAAGCAATTATGAACAATAGATTTATTAAATTATTTTGGGAAGATAATTTCGATGGAAAGAAAACTAAATTTGAAGAGCAACAAGAAAAGCAAGAGTTAATCTTAAAAAAGAAAGAGGAAAAAGAGAAAAGAGATGCCCAACTAATGAAGTTACGTGAACAAATGTTACAAAAGAAACTCGAGGAAAGAAAGAAACAAATGGAACAACAGACCGAGAAAAAGAAAGAATTGGTTCAAATAGTTAAAAGCAGAGAGGAGTTAAGAAATCAACAATTAGAGTTACAAAAACAATTATTATCAAAGCTAATTGCCTGTAAGGATGAAAAAGAAAAAGAAGCAATTAAAGAATCTATAAAGCAATTAACAAAATCTATCACAGAATCGCTTCAAAAGGATCAACAAACCACAACTCAGTTAACTCAAGATATTAAACTATCCTCACCAATAGTATCTTCTTCATCGCCACCATCATCAACTGTAATAAATAAATCAAATACCACACCCTCCCCACCATCATCAGTTGCAGCCACAGCAACCAACAATTTAGAATTTTTATCAAATAAACTCAAATCTTTAGAATCTGAAGCAAAAAGTTTAGGTATTGATTCTTCACAAATTGATAAACCAATTGCAACAGCAATAGCAGCAGCATCAAACATTTCATCTCCAATTAAACCAAAGGTTGTTTCAAACACTCCTGCTGCCATTTATAAAAAACCACTTTTCCAACAAACCACCATTAAACCAAAACACAGTTCATTAGTTATCGATAATAGAACTACAACTATCCAAATTGTCGACCCACCAATTGAATTTAAAAACGAAAATTTATTAAAACAATTATTTACAGATATAGTTTCGATTAACCAAAGCGATAATTCAATCCAAATAAAGTTTGGTAAAAGATTATCAGCCGAGAGAGTATTTATTGTTGCAAAAACTTATAAAGGTAAAAATTTAAATATTCAATGGGTAGAAAATAATAATGGAGATGGTAAAAACGAAGAAGAAAATAACCCTAACAACAGTATCAGCGACGAACTAATACCTACAGAAACAATTGAAAAGTCAAATAATGACCATAATGATGAAGACGATGACTACGAAGAGGAGGATGAAGATGATGAAAATAAGCGTTGGAAGCATTAAAAAAACTCAATAAAGTTATTTATATAAAAATAAAATTTAATAAATAAAAATTATATATCTTAAATTTTAATAAAACACTACTATTCTTTTTTTTTTTAGTTTCCTTAAAGATAAAAAAATTTAATTCTCTTAAAATAATAAATTTAAAATAGAAAAATAAATAATCATTTTATTTTTGTATAAATTTTTTTTTTTTTTTTTTATTTTTTTTTTTTTTTTTTTTTTTTTAGTAGTGTGTGAAATATAAATTAATTAAAAAAACCAATTCAAAAGGTCTGATTATTTCTTTAGATTTTTCTATTATAAACTAAATCTCTTTATTGTTTTATTCCTTTAAATTTCGGTAGAATGTAATTAAATAAAAAAAATTTAAAAAAAAAAAAGATTATCTTACTTTTAAAACTTTTTGCATTAGTGAAACATTTTTTCTCGGGTATTGTAATAGTTTTATATTTAAAAATAAATAATAAAAAATTATTTTTTTATATAAATTTTATTTTATAATTTTAAATTTTAAATTAACCTTAAATTTCTATTTTATAAAATTATTTAAAAAACTAATTTATTAAAATTTTATAATGAAAGTATTGCTAATAATTGGTCCAACTGGAATTGGTAAAACTAATCTTTCTATTGAATATTCAAAGAGAAATGATAATTGTCCAGTTATTGTATTGGATAGAATTCAATGTTATTCTGAAATGTCCATTTTATCAGGCAGACCTAGTGATTTAGAATTTAAAGGTATTAATAGAATTTATTTATCAAATTTATATTTAAAAGATGGTAAAGATATAAATAAAGATTTTTTAATGAAAAGATTAATAGAGATCTTAAACGATATAAAACAATCAATTAAAAAGTCTATTTATAATTCTAGTAGTCAAATTTCAAATTCGAAAAGTTTTGATTGTATAATAGAGGGTGGATCCATAACACTAATTAACGAATTATTTCTAAATCAAGAAAAATATTTAACAAAAATTGATATCTCCTCAATAATTTATTTAAGACCTGAGGATTCTGTAGATAATCAAAAAAAATATTATTTAAAAATTAAAAAAAGGGTTAAGGAAATGTGTTTTCCTACAGACAGTAGTAGTGATTCAATGATTAAAGAGGTACAAAGAATTCTGAAATCAAACTCAAATTGCCCCAGTATCAAAGATATTTTAAATTTCTTGGTAAAGGATGTTGCTATAAACAAAGTAATCAATTACATTGAATATGTAAATAGAAACGGTACCCAAAATGATATCAAATTAAATTCAATAAATAACACATTAATTAAAAATATTACAATGGGTCATTATAATTATGCATATTCCCAAGTAAAGGTTTTTGATAGTTTAGTAAAAAATTTACCATCCAATATATATTTATCCACAAAAAATATATTAATTTAAAATAAAAATTATAAAAATTTACATTATTAATCGCAAATATAATTTATCATTTATTTTATTTTTTATATACAATTTTTTATTAATTATTAATTTGGTGATCTTCATTTTCTTCGTAATGTGTGTTATCTTGTTTAAATGCTTGAATTATACCTTGGGCTTCGTAATCTTGAGAATTAAATGGTTTTTGACCAAATGACATTAATAAATTTTCCATTCCTCCATAGGATTGAGAAACATCATAGGAATTTGGAAAATGGTTTTTAATTGCATGAATTATTTTATTTTCGTGATGATTTTTATTTTCTTGTTTGTAATTGTTAGAGCTATCATTTTTAGCTTCATTAATGCTTGCTTCATTAATGTTTTCTATATCTTTATTTTGATTATAATTTTCCATTGTTTAATATGTATAAAATAAAAAATATATTAAATAAAAAATTTAAAAAGGGAATTAATTATTAAAAAAATAAAAAATTAATTAATTTGAATAATAAAATAAAATAAATTAAAAATTTTAATTAATATAATAATATTTTATTTTTCAGGATAAACAGATAAAATGTTTTTTTTTTTTAATTTTATTTTTAAATTTTTCAAATAATAAAATTTTTTATATTAATTTTTAAATTATTTTAAAAATGAAATTATTATAAATATCTAATAAAATCATATTTCAAAAATTTAGAAAAGTTAATGAGGTTTAACTTTTTTTTTTTTTTTAAAAAGTGAAGATGATTTTTAATGATACAAGTCATCAGTATTTTATATATTGTGTAATTTGGTTTTTTGAAATGAGTCCTTATATGTGTTTACCACACTGTATGTAATATATTCAAATGCATTTTTTTGACTCCATGAACCAAGTTCATTTACATTTGTAAGGCACAAAGATCAAATAATTTAATAAAAAAAATTTATATGAGCTGTTTGTGTTTTATAAAATTCGAAACTAAAAAGTTTTTTTTAAAAAAATAAAATTTTTTTTTTTTAAAATTTCTTTTTTTTGATTATTCAGTTATAATCCTTGTTCATTACACATTTCACTTCATTATAATTAATCTATTATTACTAATATAGGAAACAGAATCGGCCTACTAAACCATAACAACAAAACAATACAACTCAAAGAAATTTTCACAATTCCTGGTGGAGCCATCATTGCAGATATTATCACAACCTATTCAAGCACCAGAATTCTAGCAATATATGCCCCCGCAAAACCAGAAGAACGTATTTTTGCAGTTTACATCAACGCCCACTATAGCAAAAACTGCAACAATGATAATCCAGAAAATAAAATAGATATTATAGCTTTAAAACACCGGGAAGATAAATTTTTTGAAATGATTGCAAAAATAATTGCTCGATGCAGGGATCGAACCTGCGACCGTGGCGTTATTAGCACCACGCTCTGCCGACTGAGCTAATCGAGCAAGCTATGAAAATATGTAATGAAAAGGTATATGATTATGACTAAGTTACACAAATAAAATACTTAACGAAAATATAATAAACTCTAAAATAAACACTTATGGAGACGCAACAAAATATATTAACACTAACTAAATAATAAACACTAAAACACTTAAATTACTTAAAAACACTTAAAACAATTATGAGAATGCGAATAACACTAAAATATACTTTATTTATTAATTATCTTTATTACTTATATATATCTATAAAACTATCTATAAAATTATCTCTATAATAACTCTAAACTTAACTCTAAAACGACTCTAAAATAACTGACTATAAAATTATATTCTTTTGAGTTTAAATACTTTTTTGCTTATATACTGAGGTGGTTAATATTGACGTGGCTATAATGTTGACGTGGCTGGTATGACATCATGTTGACGTGATTAAATATAATCACCCTAAAGATAAACTACTGATTCATTACATATCTCACCCTTGAAAAGAGCTGAGGGCTACCGACATTGAAATTTGGATGATGAACTGATTCCATATTGGCTGTGAGATTGTTATCATTGGTCTTAGCTGTAATACGATATGGGCCTACGATTGGTTTCTTAATCTTGTCTGGAATTGATGAATTTTGAGTAGCTGGAACTTTAACGTCCATAACAGCTTTTTGGACTTGTGATACTGGGTATGGTTCTTGATGAGGTTTTGATTTATCTGTACCGTCTATGAGTGGAATGCTATGAGATATACCTTCTGCTTGACCTGCTTTCCTTAAGCTTTCTAACTTAATTTCTGAATAATACTTAATTAATTGACCAAATTTTGCTTGTTCTTGAGGTGTGAGAATAATTGAACTATCTGGAGCTACTTTAACATCTATACCTGGAAGTATTCCTATTCCTTTTAGGGGTGGCTCTGGACCAAAAACGATCTTCTCTAATAATTGTATGCTATATTTATTGAATTTGACACTATCTTCGACTTTAATATTATTATTATTATTATTACTATTATTATGACTACCGTTATCTTTATTGTGACCTAATGGTGATTGTTGATTATCTCTATTACTATTATTATTGTTATGAGTTGATGATGATTGAAAATTATTACTATTATTATTATTTTTTGTTGGCTGTGATTGAATATTATTATTTTCTATTGGAGATTGATTATTAATTAAAAATAAATTACTTGCCAATGATGAATCGACTTTGTTTGATGATGGTTCTTGGACTTGCTCGGAAGGTAACACTGTTGGCTGGGCGTGCACACGATTTACTCTATAAATTTCTTCTGGTGGAATAATAAGTGAGTCGAATAGGTTTTGATTAACAGAAGCATGCTCGCTTAAATTAGTATTGATTGGAGTGTCGACAATTGTTTGAACTGGCTGTTCCATGTGAGAATACATTGGGACATATTGTTTGTGCCTAAACGAGTATAACTTCATTTCTGTAACAATTGGATTTAAACCAAGAGTCTTTAAAGCTCCTAAACCGAGAATACAAGAAGCTGAAATGTCTTGATCCTTAAAAACTTCGAAACTGATACTTGATTTGATTTGATCACTCATCTGGACTTGGCATACGACTTCACCTTGAGTGGCCATTACATGGTTACTTGCATTTGTGACTTTCTTTAAACTTGGACGAATTAGAAGATTTAACTTTTCAACCAATGACTATCTTATACATGAAATGCTTGCACCTGTATCTACTAGAACTCTGATTGGACGACCATTAAACTTAAGGTTTGCACAAATGTTATCCTTTCTACTTATATTATTAATGCTATTAAGAGTTGACACATTATCACTTGTATCATAACCATCAATAAAGGAACCGCAATTATTATTATTAGTATGATATTCATCCTCTTCTATATTATTTATCTGATTATTATTTCTATTATTATTTCTATTGTAACTATGATTTGATTTGTAGTCATTGTTATTTGATCTATTGTTATTATTGTTATTACCAAATCTACTATCCTCATTAAATTTATTAAAATTATTTTCAAATCTATTATTACTATATTCCAACTGGTTACTATTGTATTCTAATTGATTATTATTGTGATATCTTTGTTGATTATTATTATTACCGTTATATCTTTGTTGATTATTATTACCGTTATATCTTTGCTGATTATAATTATTATATCTTGGTGGGTTATTATTTCTTCTATCACTATCACTATTATACTTCTCTCTACATTCTCTAGCTAAATGACCTGGATTCCCACAAATAAAACATCTAAATTCACTATTTCTTTTGACCTCTACTGCAGCTACTGTATTACTGACAACTGAAGTTAGTCCTGAACTTGATACACTGGCACCAAATATACCCTGGATTTCGTCTTGACGTAGATAAAGAGATTTGCCCATTGTTAGTTGGTAATTCTTTTCGAGACGAACAATTTTTTCACTAAACTTCTGAAATGATGAGTAACCTTCGATGTCCGAAACATCTACCATTAAAGCTTTTGAGAAGTTAATACCTAAAGCTGATTTGAGTGTAACCATTGCAGCATCATCTGATAATTTTACCCTTGAACGAACTGTATCAAAAACTAATAATAATCGCTCTAATGATTCAAATTTACCTGTTCTGGTAAATTCGCTGAATTTGAGTAACAAAGTGGTTGGAAGGTCTTGGTATTGTTTCCTTAATTGTAATAAATTCTCTTCCGCAGAATTATTACCATTTGGGTCCATCCTTTGTAAATAGATTAGCGCATCACTTTTTAAACTTGAAATTAAATCTGTGTTATCAAAACGGGGACCGAAGTGATATCTAAATTGGAACTCGAATAAATCCCATGTTTTTTCGAAGCCCATTGAAAAGCCTCCTTCAAATTTTACATCTTCTGATAGTGGCTTTTTTCTTCTTTCAAAACCATAATTTTGGCTTCTAAACCTTTCATTCTCCAACCTGAGTATAGATAATTCTTTTAACAAATATTCTCTAAACTCATCACCTTCTACACTTCTTCTTCCTGTATTTAAATTTTGAGCATCATTACTAAAATTATTGAACTCTAAACTTGGGTCATCTTCCTTTTTGATTGGTGGACTAATATTACTTAAATTATTTGTTGTTGTTGTTTTATTACTACTACTACTACTACTACTACTACTACTACTACTTTCACTGTAATTATTTTTTAAAAGTTGACTACTACTTTTATTAATAGGGTTGACATCCTTACTATTGTTGTTACTAATTGTGGTATTTTTTGACATTTTGAATTTTGAATTTTATTTTATTTTTAATTTTTTTTTTTTTTTTTTTTTTTTTTTTTTTTTTTTGAAAAAGTTTTATTTAATTTAATTTAAATTTTTTTTTTTTTTTTTTTTTTTTAAAAAAAATTTTTACGAAAATATGCTGTGATTGTAAAAATATAACTATGAGAATTTCTTTTTGAAACTATCTTTATTCCTACCCCTTTATAATTTTTATGTGGTTCTGATGAGCTGTCGCCAAATGTAATGAAAAGGTATATGATTATGACTAAGTTACACAAATAAAATACTTAACGAAAATATAATAAACTCTAAAATAAACACTTATGGAGACGCAACAAAATATATTAACACTAACTAAATAATAAACACTAAAACACTTAAATTACTTAAAAACACTTAAAACAATTATGAGAATGCGAATAACACTAAAATATACTTTATTTATTAATTATCTTTATTACTTATATATATCTATAAAACTATCTATAAAATTATCTCTATAATAACTCTAAACTTAACTCTAAAACGACTCTAAAATAACTGACTATAAAATTATATTCTTTTGAGTTTAAATACTTTTTTGCTTATATACTGAGGTGGTTAATATTGACGTGGCTATAATGTTGACGTGGCTGGTATGACATCATGTTGACGTGATTAAATATAATCACCCTAAAGATAAACTACTGATTCATTACAAATATTGTAATGAAACCCCGGTTGATGGTCAAGTATACTGATAGTGTATCAGTAAAATTCACAAATAACTTTAGATTAAGAAAGAATGAATAGTTTATTAAAGTAATACTGTGTTAAAACCTTTATTTAACTTTATTATTTATTATTATTAGTCTCTTAAGAGCTTATTTTATCTTTATATTATTATTATCTATTACTTGAGACTTAGAACTTATTACTTATTGCTTACTATTTATTTTATTGAATGAACTGTATAAATTTGTGACATTATTATTCTTATATATTAAAATATGTGTTATGTAAATGTGTGTTATGTAAATGTGTGTTATGTAAATGTGTGTTATGTAAATGTGTGTTATGTTAATGTGTGTTATTATTTTCCTTTTCTTAAATTATCATAATTCATGAGTACTATCACAATATAATATATTTAATTACATAGGGCGTTATTTGATTTTACTGTAAATAATTTATAAAAAATTCGATTAATCTATAAAATATATTACTAATGTATTTGTTTCGCTGTTATGATTGTTTTTAAACAGTTATTTAAAAAAGGGCAATGTATAAAATAAATATAAAAATTAATTTAAAAAAAAAAAATTTCTATAAAATTTAAATTGAAATTTGTATTGATATAAGCATTCTTTGTTCAAAGCCATATACAATACTTGCAGTGTTAAATAAAAATAACATTCTATAACATCTCATCTATCCTCTTTTCATTTGCTTTGGATAAGGTGTCTTTAATTGTACTATTCTTTCTTTTCGATTGACCCCTGCTTATGGACGACCTGAACTAATGATACCTGAACTTTGCCATTAAACTCTTCCAAAAATCTTATAAATAATTTGTCATTGTCACTAACAATTGATAACGGTAAACCATAAACGCAAACTGTTATCCAAAAAGCTTTACTGCTGTTAATGTTCTTTTGCACGGTATAATAATGAACATTTTGCTTAACCTATCTGTAATTATGAATACACTATCACTTGCATATTTTGTTGAGGCAAATTCATTAAATCCATTGCCATCATCTCATGGAAGTCTGAAACTTAAGGTGGATTTAACTTTATAAAGTTTCAAAATGGTGTTTAAAAATTACAAATTTATTCATATTTTAAGTTATTATAATTATTTTATTATTTAATTAGTCATAAAATTATTATTATCAAACCATTGTATAATAAACTTATTTATTACATTTTAAAAATAAAAAAAAATGAAAATTATAATAATAAAAAATATTAAAAATTGGAACCGGATCCTATAATTATAGTTTCAAGTTGCTGTTTATTTAAAATATTAAGATATATTGCTTTATTTGTCTGGTTTGGTTTCATTTGTATTTTTAGATTCTTTTGGTATGTCAGTTCTTTTTAACCTATCTGGGAAATCTAAATCTAATAAATTGATTTTAAATAGATCTTGAATATTTTTATTTTCAATATCCTCTTCATTCCCCGAATAGTAATTAAGTACGTCATACAAATTGAACTGGGGAACACTTCCATCTTCATTAACCTTAACAGATTGGTTTATTAATGATAAAGATTGTAAAATTCTAATTATTTGATCCATAGAAGCTTTCAATTCTTGCACACACTCTTCATTACATCCTGGGCCATATGGACTGTAAAAAAATTCGTCCAGAATGTCAAAGTGATACTCATGGGGCCCCCAATGAACTTTTTTTTTATTTGGTGTTCCATTATTGTTTGTATCACTCATTTATAAAATAAAATAAAAATTTGAGGTGAGTTTAATAATGGATGAGATAAAATATAAAAAATAAAAAATAAAAATAAAAATATAAAAAATAAAAAATAAAAAATAAAAAATAAAAAATAAAAAATAAAAAATAAAAAAAAATGGGGTAAACAAAAAAGTGAAAAATAAATAAAATTTATTTTCTTCTTATTTTAAGTTATTTAAATATTATTTTACATTGTTATCAAAGTATTTACCCACATTTTATTTGCTATTATTAAATTTTCTTTTAATAAAAATAAAAAAAAAAATAGTGATTAAAAATTATCATTATTCTCACTTTTAACAAATTATTGTTAGTGTATTTATTTAATTTTTAAAAAAATTATTTATTTTTATCCATTTTTAAAATTTGCTAATTGATTTAGAATAACAGTACAAACTCACATCATAACTTTTCTCTTTTTCACTTCTTTTAATTTTTTTTATTTTTTTAAACATTTTTTTTTAATTATAATTTTTTTTAAACATTTTATTTTATTTTTTTTAAATTTTGAATTTTATTATAATTTTATTTTTCTTTCAAAAACCTTCACAAAACCATATCGATACTAATAATATGGTGCACCAATATTTCAATTGTTTTTATACTTATATCTGGATCTTGAATTCACTAATCTGAAAAAGGACTATTTTTTTAAATATTGTTATAATGTACTATAGTAGTAAAAGGTGATTAAGTATATAAAAGAAACTAAATACAAAAGTAAATATTAGATATATAAAATAATATGTAAACTAATTATGTTTTATTTAAGTAATGGAAAATAAACCTCTAAAGAAAATGGTTATGAATTGAGACTATTTATACTGTTAATGAAATAGACTTTTAGACTTTAAGAATGTTTAATATAATGAATGATTATTTGAATAAGTTCATTTTATAATAAATGATTATGTTAATATATTTGGTGAAGGTAAAAAAGTCTAAAATGATGGCGATAGAGAACAGTATTAATAGGGGTTGTCCTTTTTTGTATTATTTGCTAACCACGAATTTTTGACTTACCCCTTCAATAAGAATGGCGCAAAGGTTAACACGACTTTTATTAATTTATTTTTAAAAGAATTTTTAGTAATTTAATTTTGATTATTTAATTTTTGTTGATTAATTTTTTTGAGTAATTTTTGTTATTTAATTTTTATTTGTAATTCATCGATAAAGCTCTGTAGCTTTCCAGGTGTATCGGTATTTTCACTCTAAATATATCTGAATTCCATATCTTGCTAAACTTCTCTATCCTGTTGACTATCTTCATTGTGTGGTGTCGCTGACTAGATGGATCTTGATATTGAAGTTTCTTATAACTTGAATCACAGGGGTCGTGGGAGGGGTGTGATATAACAACAATTCTAAAATCCATTCAAATTTATTATAATAATCACAAACATATATCACATTTATTAGAAAAAGACAAACATATATTATTTTATAATTATCATAAAATTTAGACACATTTTTAATTTAAATAAAAATATTTATTTTGGTTTTATTATATTTTATTTTATCTTTATTTTGTGTTTTATTATTATTATAATTAATTACATTTAGTTTATAATACAGTTGTTTAGTAATTAATTCATTATATTAGAGTTCTTAAATATAACAACAGTTATATAACACAATATAATATAAAATAGCATCTTAATTCAGGGGTAGAATGCAAGGCCCATAACCTTGAGGTCGTAGGATCGAAACCTACAGATGCTAAAATTTTGATAATAATCATATCTTCCATGTGATTACTGTTACAAAATCCCGGATAAGGTCAAGGAAGATAAAGCTGGGGATTTTACTGATTCACACACGAATTGACGTTACCGTGCCCAACTTGTATGCAGTGTGGTAAAACTCATATAAGCATTAAACACATACCAAACAAAAAACACAATAAACTGATGACTTAATACATCATTAAGAATCATCTTCACTTTTAAAAAAAATAAAAAAAATAATTACATGTAATCCAGGATATTTAGCTAACATTTCGAGTACGGTTACTTCTTGTGGTGGTATACATATTGGTTATGAAAGTTAATGAATTCCAGAGTTTTTTTACATCGAAAAAGATGTGACAATATGGATCGTTATAAAGATTCATTCATCACATTTCCAATATAATTATAAAAAATTCTACTTAACTAGTTATTCACTTATAGAAATGATATAACCTTTAATGAACTTGATTACAACAATCTAACCTTAAAATGGACTAAGTTAACCTCAATATACTGATTTATTTAAAACATTTGCTTTAAAAGATCTTCACTTGAAAAAAAAAAAAAAAAAGTTTAATTTTAATATAATAAAACAAAAAATAAAATTACTGATTATCAATAATTTAAGAGTTAAAGGGATAAATATTATTTAATTTTATTTTAAAAACTTAGTTATTAAATAGCAACTAACGAGGAGTCTTTCATTTCAATATCTTTAATAATTGATTCTTTTTCTTTTTCTTTTTCTTTTTCTTTTTCTTTTTCTTTTTCTTTTTCTTTTTCTTCTTTTTCTAATTCCTTTTCTTTTTCTTTTTCTTCATTTTTATTTTCTAAAATCACTTTATTTTTTAATTCTTTAGTTTCATCATCTTTTTCATTATCATTATCGAGTTTTTTATTTTGATCATTAAATTCTTTATCGTTTTCAATTATTGAATTGGAGGGTATTGATATTTTATTATCATTTGGTGATCTTGGTGGTGAGTTAGAGGATAATGATAGTGGTGGAGGTGTACCTGAATTTGCACCGCTTGAAGTAGAATTTGCTAAACTAACAGAAGAGGAAGCAGTACCATGGGTACCTTGTTGTTGTGATTGTGATGTCGAAGTTAAAGATGTTGATAAGGATGAGGATTGTGATGGATGATGATGTTTTAATAAATGACTTGGTGTATTTAATGGACTTGTACCTAAACCAAATGATGATAATAGTGGTGAAGGTGAAGGTGAGGGTGAAATAAATGGAGTTAGTGCTGGTGAACCAACTGGAGACAAAGATGATTTCGAGTTTTTATTATTTCTTTGAATTAACCACTGCTTTTCGACTTCATTATGAAATTTAATGGCTTGGTGTTGATGAGTTAAATCTAATTTGGATCGTTGATCTTTATGAACACTTTGTAATTTCTCTTGATCCTCTTTAAATTTTAGTTGAAGTTTCGAAACAAGATCTTGATCATCCTTTTGCTGAGCTTCAGATTTCTCTTTTTCAAAATTATCTAAAGTTGACCTATAGCTTCATCTTGTTTAGTTGATAAATTAAAGATTTGAATCTTTTGGTATTGTTCTAATTTTTGAAAAGCGTTTTGTTTAAATTTTTGAAAGTCAGGGTTTTCAGCTACTGATGTTGTTGAAGTTTCAATTGATGTTTTATTTATTGATGAATCATTTGATTCTTTTTTATTACTATTTACACTATTTACAATTATATGTGGACCAGATTTTGGAGTTTGCATTGGAGTGGATTGATTCGATGAATCTTTATTTTGTGATGTTTGGTTTGGATAAATATTATTTTGTGATTGCGGATTTAATGAGTTCTTTTGTAAAAATTCTTGCCATTGCTTATATGATTCAATCCATTGTTGCATATTTACATTATAGTTTGGATAATCAAATTGACTTAAACCTTCAGCAGTACTAACACTATTTCTTCTTAAACTATTAAAGTATGGTGATTTTGGAATTGGTCCAGGTCCTACACCAGTACCAAAGAATGGCATACCATTAAACATTGGGTTTGTTTGTGATTGCTGTGATTGTTGTGATTGTTGTGATTGTTGTGATTGTTGTGATTGTTGTGTTTGTTGTGATTGTTGTGTTTGTTGTGGTTGATTTGAGTCTGAAGAAAGGAAACCTTGGAAATTTTTACCCATTATATTACACTCAATTTGAAAACCGAAATCTAAAGAACCTTTAATAGAAAGTTTACCATTAAATGGACTATTAAAAGTTGTCTCCATATTTATTGGTGAATTTAAGTTGAATGGAGGAATACCAAACATTGGAAACATTGGAAATGCACCTTGATTCATTAAACCCGGCATTGGTACTTGACCACTTTGGTATGGATTTGTTATTCCTGTTGTTGTGTTACTTGAAGTTGGTGATTTATTTTCATCCTCCTCAACAGTATTTAATTTTTGACCTGATGGTTCACTATTCATTGCACAAGAATTGAGACCCATTGAAAGTAATGGAGATGCTGGGATACCTCTCATTCCAGGTGGTACACCATTTCTAGCCATGGATGGTGAGCCAGGGAAAAGTGGATTCTTTCTAAAATTTGGAATTTGAAAGGGTATTGCAGACGATGATGATAGTGGAGACATCATTTGTGGTACTGTATTTGAACCTGCAGATGTAACTGATGGTGATTGAGGCTGTTGGGTTTGTTGTGGTTGTGTTGATGGTGAAGAATTGGTAGTATTTTTTTTAAATCTTGGAATTGAAATTGTAATTGGACTTTTATTTACATTGGCAGGATTACTTGATGACATTATCGGTGATGATAAACTTTTACTATTTGATTGTTGTTGTTGTTGTTGCTGTTGCAGAAGAGGTTGTTGTAAGTTTAATGGCTGAGGTTTAATACCGCCTGGAGAAGATAAAAGTGAGGGTGATTGACTATTTTTAGCTTTTTGTGCAAATACACCAATTATTGGTATTTTTGATTGTAAACCAGGACTTGGTGGTAAAAGAACTTTCCCAGATGGTGGTGGTGATGAAATTTGTGATTTATAAGTTGGACTATTGATTGGCTTAGTAATTTGGGTAATGGATGGAGATGAATTGTTATTTTGATTTCCAATAATAACTGATGGTTTATTATTTGTGCGTGAATTAATTGCTGGTGATCTTGGTGGTTTAATTAACAAAACTCTTTTAGCTGATTGAAGTGTTGGTGATTGATCTTTTAAAGAACTATTGTTTTGTGATGAGCTATTATTACTATTATTGTTATAGTTTTTATTTTCTTCATCATCGTTTTTGTTTGTTAAATCATTTTGATCTTCATTTTGATCCTCACTTTGATCTTCATTATCTTCTTTTATTATTTTCTTCTTTTTTAAAGGTTGGTTTGAATTTAATTCAAAACCATCTTCAATTTGATGTTGTTGTTGTTTTCCTTGATTTGGTTTTTGATCATAATCAACTTCATCTTTACCATTATCAATTCTTAGCTCTTCATCATCCATATCAATATCATTATCATTATCATTATCACTATTGTTATCACTATTATTATTATTGTTGTTTTCTGGAGTTTGTGATAGTGTCATTTTATTATTAAATTTAATATTTTTATTATTATTTTCTTCATTTTCATTAAATTCTTCATCATTAACATAATTATTATTAATTCTATTTTTATTTATTAATGATAACATTGATGGTGATTCTCTTGTTCTTTTAGTACCAGATAAATTATAACTATTATGACTATTGGATTCTTCATCATCTTGTCTTTGTTGTTGCTTTGATAATGATGGTCTTCTATTATTACTATTATTATCTTCATCATATAAAGAGTAACTATTTGATTTAAGTGATTTTTGTTGTTGTTGCTGTTGTTGTTGTTGTTGTTGCTTTATTAAACAATATTTGTAATCTTCACTGCTATAGTTTTCATCTTCTTCATCATCATGATTTTTATTTGAACTATTATCATATGAATCTGCCCCATTGTTTGTATTATATTCATTATCTTCTTCTTCATCTTCTTCGTCATCATCGTCATAGTCTTGACCTTCAATATAAATATCACGATCATTATCTGAAGATATTTTTTTATTATAATTGTTTGGTCCCTTCTTACTTTGGCTCTGTGATACTTCTTTTAATGCAATATCAAAAAACTCGTTTAATTGATCTGGAATTGTTTGTGAAGTAAAAAATGTATTTGAGTATTCTTTCATATTTGACTCTTTAATCCCCGCTCTATAAGGGGGTTTATTTTAATAAAAATATTAATAAATTGTTTTTTTAATTTTAATTTTTACAAAATTAACCTACTTATGATGGGTGCCTAAAAAATTAACGATTATTGAGTTTGAAATTCTTTTTTTAAGCAAAGATTTATCTATATCTTCATCATCTTCCGAACATATCTATATATTAAATAAATGAATTAATAATTTTAAAAAAATTAAAAAAAAAAAAAAATACAAAAAT